AAAAAGAAAGAGACGGTCTTATAAAATGTTTCTACAAAGTTTACTTGGTACATTCTTCGAAAAAGTCAAAATGATTACAAATGCGATCTGACAGGGATTTGTTGAGTAAATAGTAAACATAAGATGGATAATATTGAATGTATTCAACATAATACACATAAAAAGTTTACTTAATAAAAGCTATAATTATCACATGTTTCTAACATAACCTATAAATATTTAGAAGAAAAGCTCTGTTATAAATAAATGTACTAGAAGAATGAATTTTAATATAGATGAAATCAATGATCTTACTGTTATATTATGTAATAATTCATTTTGTTATTAGTAGTATTATTCATTTACTTTTGAAACCACCCATTTTGAGTGTACAAAGCTAACTTCTCAACACATACAAATTATGCATTCATCTCAACAATTTTTACACTCACATTAAAACCTTATCAAATTCAAGTATGTCAATCTAGTCGATTTGCAGTTAAGAAAAATAATAAAATGATGAATTGATCTTATTCTCAATGTATCACATGCTATTCTCAACTGTGATCAGAAGAAAAAAAATATAAGAAGGATATTCAAAATGAACAAGAGAAACACACATTTTGGTAAGACACATTGTTTCGATATCTGATAAGTATATTTTCAAGTACAGTCTTACAATTGGAAAAAAAGCTTCAAAACAATAGTTACCTTTTTCCATGCACTAACATTTTATTGAAGCGTTAGGTTATGGGTAGTGTAAAATACAAGAAAGTGAAAGAGAAAATTGAAGAAGCCCATTTTTATCCAGTTTAAAACTCATCAGTTGAATGTAATTACAATCTATTGTTGATATGATAGGCATATTGAAACTTTAACCAACTATCTACTGCTTTAAATATCAGAAGGCTCTATTCAAAACATCGTCCACTAGTTAAACAATTATGATCTATATTATTATATTTGTCAGAGTTTGTGTCCTCCAGTAATTGATATTTACAACTAATTATTATCAGTCACTACACTATAAATATTGCTTTCCAGTGAATAAACAAATAGTTACAAATGATGCCTCAACTTATCTCCTACACAAATACATACTAGTTTTAATTTGGCAAGTATGATCATTTAAAGCTATCTGACTGGTAGACAAGAAAGTGATCTTCATATGCAAAGTGTTAGTTGGTATTTTTAATTTACAATTAGATAACTTTGAAATCTGACAAATGTTGATCAAACATGATTATATATATACATATACATATCACTTATTAATTTGTATCATTTCGAGACCAAATAACTAGATTTCTATCATGTTCTTTGTAGGTAGTACACTTATGATGGTACACTATCGAACGGGAATAATCATAGTAGTTCTACGTGCAACTTGCTTAAACTTCCAGCTCGATTATTTCCTAACTTTGTAAATGTTACAAATTTTCCGGTTTTCGATTCATTTTAATTGACTAATAGTTCATGTTAACCGCCTAATATAGACAAATGTTTTGATCGAAACTTTCTAATTTAATACAGATAAATACTGATAAATTCAAGTTGAATTATCATGATCGTTGATGCATTTTTCTTCTCAAAAAGTCCTTGAATTGGAATTCATGCATCAAATATATCACGCAACGGGAAAAAAAACAAGTCATTAGAGTGAAAATGGTTAGAAACGTTTGATATTGCATGAAGGATATGATTTTTCATACATATAATTCGAATAATAATAGGTTAAATGGATATTAAAATGAAATTTCGCTGTAATATAACATATCTGCATTGAGATGGTGGAGAAGATTTGTAGCTCAGGTGGATGATTTTGGTGGAGTTTTGTTCTCTGAGCTGGATGGTTTGGTCGTGGAGCTTTCATCGTTCTTCTGAACGACATCATCAGCACAAACTTCAGATAGAAGTGAAGTGTTTGAATTTCTCCATATGTGTCTCAAAGCTTGTTCTGTGCACCTCGCCAGTATGTTCTACCAACAAGTGTAAGATATAGACCTCCAATCAACTGCCCATTAGGATGGAAAATAGCTGAGCAAAGTGGAAGAAAAATGGTACACCTAATGATAACGGATGCACACTACAGAATCCACAAATACCAACACGTCATAGAGGACCAAAAGATGAAGCTACAAAGGACACTTACGTCAGAACACTTAGAAATCTTGACAACAGCCATCGAGATATCATGCAAACGACACAGAGAACAAAGAAGAAACGCCTTAAAGAAAAAACTGATCAAGGTCTCAAAACCACCCAAGGAAGAAAACACAAACAACTGCGTGATCAATTTGTCAAAACAACCACTAACAAATACGGAAGAACACCTACCCCAAAAAGGATTAAACTACAATACAAGCGACGCCTCAAAGCTGGAATTCTTCGCAGCACTGGAGTCATCACTCAAAACTTTGGGAATCAGTGAAGAAACACAACAAGAAATAAGGCAAACTATAGTACCGCTAACTCAACAGGCGAAGGGAAACAACCAACTGACTCCACAAGAACAAAAGACCTTAAAAGAACTCAAAAATAGAAAGGATATCGTCATAATACCAGCGGATAAAGGACGCACCACAGTAATCATGGACAAAGAAGAATACGTCAAAAAAGCCGAAGAACTACTGGAAGACAAGAGCACATACAAACTGATGGATACAAATCCCATCAAAAAATTAGACAACCAAATCTCAAAGACCTTAAACAAGCTAGTCAAAGCAGGAGAAATAACAAAACAAGAACAATGGAGAATGAAATCCAACGGACCAGTACTTCCTCGATTCTACGGCAGACCCAAAATACACAAACCAAACATCCCACTACGTCCAATTGTAGCACTCCCCGGAACACCAACGTACAATCTGTCAAAAGAAATTTCACGAATACTGAGATATCTAGTAGATTCAGCCAACCACTCAATCAAATCCCCTACACAATTCCTGGACCAAATTAAGGACATCCAAATCAACAACGACGAACTGATGATCTCCTTCGATGTGACAGCACTATTCACCTCAATCGAACCAAAATTAGCAAGAGAAACTATATCCCTGCTGCTCAACAACGACACAAACCTCACCAAATACACGAAGCTTCAAATTCAAAGTCTACAGGAACTCATCAATTTATGCCTAACAACATACTTTCAATTCAACAACAAAATCTACGAACAAACGAAAGGGACACCAATGGGATCACCAATATCAGGATTGATCGCAGAGGCAGTGATGCAAAGACTAGAAGCCGCGATATTACCAGTGATCAAATCAAAAATTTGGATTCGCTATGTAGACGACACCTTCGTCATCGTCAAAAAGAATGAACTAGAAAACACTTACAACCTGATCAACAACGTCTTCGATGACATCAAGTTCACCATGGAACAGGAGTCAAACAACCAACTAGCATTCTTGGATGTACTGATCACTAGAACCGACACAGGAAAACTGGAAACTCAGGTATATAGGAAACCGACCCATACGGATCAAATTCTCAACTACAATAGCAACAACCCCAGAGCTCACAAAATCAACTGCGTACACAATTTGTTCAAGAGGGCGAGGACACACTGCAGCACACTGGCAGCACGAAGAAATGAAGAGAAATATCTAAAGGATGTATTTCAGAAGAACGGCTACCCCATCAACTTCATCAAAAAATACCAACCGCACGCAGCATTAGAACTCAAGTCAAACACAAAAATCAACAAAAGGATCACCCTACCAAATATACAAGGAATATCAGAAACAGCGACGAGACTGCTAAAAACCTTCGGAATAGGTGTGGCACACAAACCGACAAAATCACTACAATCAATCTTATGCAAACCAAAAGATGAAATAACAAAGGAAAACAAATCAAACATCATCTACAAAATAAATTGTGCCAACTGCGAAAAACACTACATCGGACAAAGCGGACGCCCCCTTCACCTTCGCCTACATGAACATCAGTTAGCAGTCAAACGGCATGATATCTCTTCACTTATATCAATACACGTGGACAACTGCGGACACTCATTCGATTGGAAAAATGTGGAAATCTTAGACAGAGGAAACTCCAAAAACACCAGAGAATTTTTAGAAGCCTGGCACTCAGGCCAATTAGCAATCAACAAGCATATTGAAATCAATCCAATTTATCAACCAATCAGAAAAATCATGCACAAACATAAGAACAAAAATCAAAACAATGGGAGACACAACCAAAACAAAGAAGTAAACAACGACAAGTTTAAGGTCAATAAGAACCAATCAACGTCGAGGTGCACAGAACAAGCTTTGAGACACATATGGAGAAATTCAAACACTTCACTTCTATCTGAAGTTTGTGCTGATGATGTCGTTCAGAAGAACGATGAAAGCTCCACGACCAAACCATCCAGCTCAGAGAACAAAACTCCACCAATATCTGCATTGAAAATTCTTCGATACAATTAAAATTATGGTTTTGAATAAAATGACTACTACTATTACTCAATAAACATAAGAAGTTTAACTGTGAAATATATCTTCATATATATAGAGAGAGTTCGTCAAGATTCTCTGTTTAAGTCTCAAAAAGGTTTGATAGGAATACTTTTGTATTTATTTGAAAAAAAGATATCCACCTAGAGAGGAAAAAGATCAGTTGAAGTTGCAATAATACACAACCAATATGGTTTTAGTACGAAAATATGAATGTATATTCAAACCAAAAGGGTGAACACATTTATAAGTAATTTTTTACAAAAAAATATTATATCTGGTAAAACGTAAGGTACAACTGATAGATAGAACCATCAAGTGAAACAGAACCGATAACTCCATGACATGAAATCAATGTCGGGTGACCAGAAAACACTTTAGTTGTGCTCCTTATGTATGAAATAGAGAGTACACTAATGAGTATCAAACTAGAGAAAATATTAGCTTTGCAATTCTTAGAGTTTCACAATAAAAACGAGGTCAATATGAAATTAAATCGAATATGACAAGTAAACTCTTCGTTACCACTTCAAAATAGCTTAAACTAACCTTCCTGTCACTGTGATTAGAGCTGCAGACACAAAAACTAGATAATAACCTGGATAGAAACCATGCCACATGGCTGATGCAACGAAAACTGACCAAACAGCATAACGTTTTGGTACACGATCATATATACATTCACGTAACCAACGTGTTGTTGCTGTATTCCAAGAATCTATGATTGTTTTTGTACTTGTACCAAGCTTAAGAAAATATAGATAATCATTTCCTCATAATCAAATACATAAACTGTTTTAATATACTATAATCAATAAAATAAGTTCTAGAAAGAGAAACAATAGTGGCACGTAAAGTGAAGCATATTTCAACAATGATTTGAAAGTACTTTTAAACGTGAATTGATATTAACAGAAGAGTAGCTAAAATTACGTAAGCGCTGAATAGGTGTTCTTCGCTAAATTAAGACTTCACAGAAGTGTGCACATACAATGTAACACCATATAAGGTTAAAGGAAAGATCTATACACCCCATGGTAAACACAATACGTTGAAATTAAACTATGATGATCAAAACGAGAAGACAGTCAAAATAAAGATTCAAGCAAAATACTCATAAAATTGAAGGTCAACAAAACAAACAACCAGTTATACATGAAGAAATTCTTACAAATCATTTCTGTCTGAAATTTGTTTTGATGATATTGTCTAGAAAGACAAGAAAAGCTACTGACCTAAACTATCCAACTTAAAGAACACAAATTCACTAGAAATATTTAACTCGCTTAATAAGAATCAAATAGTTGTAGCAAATTATTGTGATGAGAAAAAATTTCTTTACAATTGTTTTATTTTTAATTATTTAAATACATAGACATTGGTACAAAGAGGCACCAAATACATATGCGCCACACAAATCTCATTTCACATGTGCGAGGGCTGTGATACTGCCCGGGTGCCCAAACCGAAGCAGGTGGTTTTCTTAGGGGACCACACCCAGAGCCTTTGACCTAAAAGTCTGATCCATAAGACAGTGGAGCAACGTCAGGTGACGCAGTCACATAGTAGTCAGTGACCAACAATGGGTTCATACGCCATTTGTTCCCTCAGGATCCTGGAGCCCATGTGCACCAATGGTTTGGAATCAGGGTTTTCCAACTCCCTTGTACAGATCCTCCTTGTCCACCGACCCGGTTAAAGCGTCGGACATTCGCTTTTCGTCCTCTCAATTTCGTAGACAACACCTCCGCAACGGGAAGACAGGAGTAGGACTTCCCTGGCAATGGTTGTATATATGTGGCCATGTGAGAGCGTTTCGAGTGGGAGAGCTGACTCTCCTCACTCTTAGCCATGCCAGGGCATTTTCAATTGTACACAATTCTCACAAAACTATTATGATTATGGTGACAAAAAGTAATAAAAATGGTAATAATAATATTATTGGGGTATTAGCAAATGATTGTGTCAATTTTCCCTATTTTTAACAAAACTAATAGTTAGGCAATAAGTAGTTACACTTATAATCAGTGATAATTATAAAGGATAATGACAGTAATAATGATTTTTAATGAAATACTGAATATCACATATATACTAATTAGCATGAAACGAGTGATTAGGTAGTGTATTCTTAACTACAATACAATAAGATAATTAATCAATAGACTGACTACATAGAAAACTTTTTATTGTCATAATGTCATCAGTGTCCGTAGGTACGGTATGAGCTTTGCACCTTCGAAGTGCAAAGTACTTCTACAAGACTGGCAGGATTCTAATCCTGTACTCACTCTGGATGGTGAGCAGATAGAAGTAGTTGAGAAGTTCGTGTATGAGTGCTGGTGGGGGTGTGAGTGATGAGATCAATGCATGTATAGTGAAAGCCAGAGCAGCTTATGCCAATCTGGGCCACCTTTGGTGCCTTCGTGATGTTAGTCTGGCTGTAAAAGGTCGGATCTACAACGCGTCGGTGAGAGCAGTTTTGCTCTATGCTTGCGAAACCTGGCCTCTCCGAGTTGAGGACGTTAGACGACTCTCTGTGTTCGATCATCGTTGTCTCCGAAGGATTGCTGACATCCAGTGGCAACACCATGTTAGTAATGCAGAGGTTCGGCATCGTGTGTTCGGGCACAGAGATGATAATGCAACCGATTCCACCATCTTGAAACACCGACTTTGGTGGCTTGGACATGTTCTACGAATGTCGTCCCAGAGAATTCCACGTCGTGCATTATTTGCCGACTCTGGGATTGGTTGGAAAAAGCGGAGGTGGTCAGTGTATGACATGGTGTCCTGGTATGAAAGAAAGCTGCGAAGGGCTGGGTTGTGTTGGTCCTTCACGACTCCCTGGTTGGGGTCCGAGAGATGGTGCTACACAGTGGCTAGAGACGTTATCAGATATGGCGCAGAATAGAAGTTTAGTGGTCCTTGGTCTGACTCCATTCAGAGCGTACGAATGTTTGCTATCGCCGATTCTCGTATATCATAGTCGACTTAAATCGCGTTATCCAATAACGGAATTAAATAAGTCGAATAACGAGAATTGACTTGAGAATACATATATTTCGTGCATCAAGCGAATGAAGCATAGCAAAGCAAAATGACACGTATGGAAAATGGCTGGGAAGCCAACTCCATCTTTGTCAAGCGTTACTCAATATTTATAGTCAGACAAAATAAAGCTACAGACATGTGATTAATGGAATAAGAAGGGCACACACATATACGCTCATATAAAAACAGTCTAGATTGATAAACGAATAAATAACAAGGTCAATGTATGGCTCAAGTAAAATGAATAGAATGGGATGTCCGAAAGCTTGAATAAGGTATATGGGCTTGGCATAATAACTGACACAACAGAAGCCACTGGCGATCCTGCTGTAACCTTCCTTTACTTTCTTCATAAAAAGTGGTTGTGTCTCCCTTAACTGAAAGATTTCTTCTGACTGTACCTTTCTGTTCCGCCATTTTTACCATTATTATTATTACACCACCTTACATCAATCTCTTTTTTTTCTCTCCTTCCCCTTAAATTCTCATTGTTTTGTGTGGCGCATATTTATGTGTTCAAATAAATAAAATAATAAATAAATAATGTCATCAGTTGATCCTATTAATAGTAGTACAAAAATGGGTAAATGATGATCACACAGTTGCGTTTACTTCTTAATCGTTAGAAATTGAATGCATTTTGTAAATAAGTAAAATCCAAGAACAAAAAACGACTGAAAACTTATACAGTAAAAAAATAAAGGAAGGAATTTTTATCCATATCTATTTTTCGAAGAAACCGTGACCTGAAGATTATTTACTGGTGCGATTCAATAACGTATCTAAATTCTACTTCAGTCAGTCAATCACAACGTAGAACTTGTACGTATGTACATCGTTTCAAATCGCCACACCCGTTAGCACACCGAGATGAAATTGTCAAACCAAATCACAGAATGGTAGACAACTAACAGTATCAGTGGTATTAGAAAACATTAAGCATTGAATACACGACTTGAAAATAGTATATAAATTAGTGAAATAAAAACAGAAAAAATTGTAAGATATTTACAATCTCAGGATTTACGAGAAGACAAAAAATGGATGCACCTGCTCCATTCCAAACAATTTTTAGCCATTTCAAGGTCTCTAAACACTGGTTACAATGATCACGCGGAACCCAATCAAGTAGTCTATACTTATTTACATGGTCAATTCCAATTGTCAGTGACTTCATGGATTGATGTCATGTTTTAGTTTGGTCGCCTCAAGCCTTCTTCCATACTACTCATGCACTAGAAAACATCGCCTGTACGGTATCGATTCATATAAGAACGTGACGGATCTTAATAATCAAGTATTGTTGATGGTAAAATAATTAGATAATCATTGAGAACTATAGAGCATCGGGTAGTCGTTTCACACATACTAGTAATAGATTTCTCAGTAGTGTGTACATTTGACACTAAGATTTTGTGGTGAATATATTAATTACACTTTGAGACCACCACCGCTATGTTGATATTCAACGGATCATAATCTAAACACATACACAAACTTGGATTTGTCCACGATAATCCAAGATTATATTTCATTTTCATTGGTGATAATTATCTCGCATTTGATATAAAATATTTTAAGTTTCTTTATAACATTCATCGTCCTGTAAACTCGAATGAACTATTCATAGAATTTCATAGATTCGATTCACGTAAATTGTACTGTTCATCTTTTCATAATCAGAACCGTTTTGCCTACTAAATACTTATTTATTGACAGAATATGTAAATATCTAACAAAGCAAGGAATGTCCTTACCTCAATAGGCAAAAAGTAAATATTAGTAGCCAGACGATATTCCGGTTCGCCTTCACTATTAAATCCAGAAAATCCAAAACCTGCGACTAAATTTGATAGACAACCTAATCAGGAAATAAACAAATAAGTATATATATCACTCGTCATACAGATGCATCAAGTCTAGGTAATTCACATAATGTTATTGATAAGTCCATAACTGATTCAAAAGTAAGTTGGAATCAAGTAGTTTAATTTATTTATTTGAACATATAAACATTGGTACAAGGGGGCACCAAACACATATGCACCACACAATAACGATGAGGCCAGTAGTAGTTATCACTCATTTGTGTGAGGGATGTGATAATGCCCGGGTGCCCAAACCGAGGCAGGTTGTTTTCTTAGGGGACCACGCCCGGAGGCTTCGATCTAAAGATCTAATCCACAAGGCAATGGAGCAACGTTAGGGAGCGCAGTCTCACGGTAGCCGGCGACCAACATTAGGTTCATACGCCATTTGTCCTCTCAAGGTCCCGGAGTCTATATGCATCATCGGTTCGGAATCAGGGTTTTCCAAATAACCTAGATGGACCCTCCGTATCCACCAGCCCGATTAAAGCACCGGACATTCACTTTTCGTCCTCTCAATTTCGTAAACAACAGTAACGCCGAGAGAAGACAATGAGTAGGACTTCTCTGGTAGTGGCTGTATATGTAAGGCCATATGAGAGCATTTCCAGAGAGCTGAAACTCTCTACCCTCAACCGTACCAGGGTATTTGGGAGCTGAATCAAGTAGTAATATTAAACAGCAGAAATACAACTGGATGAATTTAACAAAGTATATATTAGGAAGAATCATATGAATCCCACAAATTTCTACTCTAGATCTTAGATCTTGAGTAAATAGAAATTTAATCGATTCGTAATTGTGTTCTAAACTATAGCATCAGTCAAGAGTTGAAACTATGACAACTGAATCGTACCAGCTCATAAAAATGAAATATATCATTAATGATTGGTCACTGGCCAGCAATAGCTAACGTCAAGCTTGTCTACTGAAAGTAGAGTCCTGTCTATCAAATTGCAGTAAGGTTTATAAGTATTAACGTTGCGATATCGCGTACACTATATTTTGATATCAATGGGTTGAAGACAATCGGCACGGTCCGTGTGATTTGCGACTCTTCAGCATAACACGTCTGCAATATTGAGAGGAGTGATGTTCAAAACGTGAGATTCAAATGACAAATATGCCTAAGGTTTAGTTATGTTGATTTCATCTAACCATTTAGCATCAAAATACATATCTATCTTGAGGTAATGTATGAAGCTCAAGTGAACGCTATTGTTTGTATGGTGTTCTCTGAGTGAGACTGCTTAATTACAGGACTTTCATTGTCGTTCTGGATAAAATTAACTACCAATTATGTGTAATATCAGTTTTTTCTGAAACATTTGTTCCTGATCAATTATTTTGATGAATTTCGCTGTCTTCATTTGTTTTCCCTTTTATGGTGACTGGCTTGATTGGTTGACTTCTTACATATAGGTTATAAAAAAAACTGGAAAGCTCACTTTCACATGAAGTAGGCACTGATGATTTTGTTCAGAATAACAATGAAAGCCCAGAAATTTAACTTTCTAGGCCAGAGAAAACAACACCAACATACCTATCTAATGGATGTAGGCAAATAAAGCTTCTGAAGTACCTATTTCTTTGGTCCAAAACTTCATAACTGGAAAATTAATCTAATGTTTAAAATACAGTATCAAAGTTACACACCCAACTCTCAAAGTAAAATAAGAAAAAAACCGAGACAATAATTAAGCAAAGTCCACTAGTCACCGTGAAGTGAAAATTAATAATACTTACTAAGAGTCCAAGCAAAATAGAACTTTTGACGAAAACCAAAACACGCGATTGACAGGTAGATGAATTTTTGAAAGTAATTCTTTTTTGCAAAACTTTCAGCTGATTGGTAAAAAGAAAAGAAAATACGTATAGAAAAACTATAAATCACAATCATAATCTAAAATCAAGACGACAAGTGCGAAAATACTTCAAGGACTCTGCTGTTTCATTAAATGCATAATATGTCACTCAAATCTATCATCACTGTTACTTGATTATACACTTTTAGGATCGACTATATGTGACATTAACTGGATGTAAACAAATTAGAACACAACGAAATGTGACACTATCGTACAAACATTGAGATTGTTTGAATAAATTCGCATGGACTTAACTTTCCTTAAACAAATAACTTCCTGAGAACTGAATTTTTCTGACTGTCATTTACATTATTTCACCGTAAATACCTTCAAAGCATTGTTGTTCACGTATAGTGAAGCTACAACGTTACTATATATAGTATACTGTTTCATGAAGTACTGAATTTCTATCGACTGAAATGATGAAAAGTATTGGATACACTTAGGTACAACATATTCCGAAGTGTTAAGCTAGTTAGTGTAGGGAGTATGATTGTAAAACTATTTTCAACCTATTGAAAAATATTTTACTGTTTATTATAACCTGAATCAGTCGTAAAACAGAATGCAAAAATGTTATGACGAAGGTTAAGGACTTATCGTTAGTGACGTCAGGAAACAATATTTATAACAATAATGTAACGAAATTGATACATATATATGAACTAGAAAGTGGCTTACACAGAAATTCCTCGGGTTTAAAACTATGAAAGGACCATAAGACTAATATAGAATGAAGGAGTAGAAGTTTCACCTGTTTCCATTTCTCTGCCTAAAGAAAAATAGGAACGAAAGGAAAAGTAATTTTTTTAATTAGAAAAAAAGAATGTAAATTTTCACATATTGGACATTAAATAAATCGCATCATACAGTTATTACCCAGACCACGGTTTTATATGATTTTTTAGGACAAGAGCTATTATAACAGCCAACACTAACCACTCAGTCATTATCAATGTAGTCTGTCACAAATGTCCGTTGGCCCATGTTGCCATATCACATTGTCAAGACGAGTTGAAAATAGCAAGATCAATGGCAAAAGAGGTCGAAATAATGTAGTGGTGATGATAGGAAGAAAAACTAAACATTGGTAATATGGTTTGGAAAGAAAGTGGAAATGTAAGTATGAAGGGATACTGAAATTCATGATTGAGAGGATGAATATATTTTGCTATTTCATTCAAAGTCCTCAACCACTGTCTTTGTTTAACTGCCGGTGACTTTATGGGTTGGTTTCATGTCGTGGTTCGGACTGTCTACCCCTCTTCAAACTCTTAAACCGAAATTGCACTAGGTAATCAGTGGTTAGGTATACGTAACATGTATTGAGTGCACTTCAAATCATAAAGACTTTCAATCTCACCAACCGACTACCCACCTTTGTCTAGTACCCTGTGCCCAACCTCAATGTTACTTAAGCGATATATGAGTAATGTATTGAAGATAAATATGACCAAAAGCCTCCAACTTACACGTCTTCTAATTTTACAGCCACACAGTAGTACAGAATGCAACGCTGCTCAATAAACCCTGGCTTCACTTATAAATAACATACTATACATAGTGGGTTGTTGGAAAGAAATTCGTGAAATATTTTAAAGCCACCGAAGCAAGTATTTCAAGATGACACTAACTGGATCATCGTCACTGTCCTCGAACATATATTTATGAACCTTTGCATACTGACGCACTGTACAACAGATAGATTTGATTGTCTTTGGAAAGTCTGGAAATCGGTGTGCGCTGCATATTGTCAAGTTAGACATCATTATTATGGAAAATGTAATTTTTATTATGTTCTTTAGAATTTCTGTTGTACGCGATAGATCATTGGTTAGTCTACTTTAGTTTCAATTAATAAAGAGCGTATTTGAACCGTGTACAAACTACTTTGGTTTAGAAAACTGAGTAGTAGTATCATTAGCTTTCATAGAAGTGCGACTCAAATCCGAGTATACATATTTATATTTGGCGAATGAATTGCACTATTTAATAAATGCGGGGATCGAAGTTTGTGAGTTTACTTATTTATGTATTTCCATTAATTCATTGATTCTTCTGTACGATTATTCTTACTTAATCCCAAGTGACTGGGAACAATCTGTAAGAAGCTCTGGATATAAATTCCTGTTTATTTGGCATTTATAAGCAAGTTGTATCAGCAGTCTTGAAAGAACTAATAATTTTCATGAGACTCAATCTTACATCAATGAGTCACATTAGAAGATGTAATCACTGAAATAATCGGACTGTAAAACTAACCATATATAGAGTTGGCATGTGTAAAGTGATCTATTATCTACTTAGTAGTAACCAATATCATGTATTGTTTAGTACGTAACAATAATTGAATTCTATTGACATGAAATGTTTGATAAGAAAGGAAACGAATAGTTAGAACAATAAATCGATTTAATGAGTTTAAAGACATATAGAACGGATCGACTACTGTTATTTACTTCATGTTAAGATTATTAAGTAAAAATAACGAGAGCGTAGAGAAAATTTTAAACAATAGACGAACTGCTTCAGTTTCGACGAATACTTATCAGGAGTGGTCAATCAGATGGATTTATTGACAGAAACTTAACACTAAAACTACAAATTGAAAGATCAACGGCAGTTCAATAGAAAATTAATTTTAAAATCCTTGAGGAAGACTTTATACTCAGCTGAGCTTCGTATTGTCTTCATAACCCGGGCCATCATTCATGGATGTATCAAGAGTACACTTTCGTTTAGGGTCACAACGATGTGCATCTAGAAGCTTACTTGTTCTTGCGGAGCAGGTCACATAGGCTGCACAAAACCGACCCTTTATAAACACATTGCAGGATATTACTCGATATGACTTTTAGGAGGGGAATTTAAAACACTGAATAGTTTAATACAGGAGCACCTCATCAACTTTGGCTACGTTGCCCCAAACAAATCTTCCTTCAAAATAATCTACATAATGGAAAGAATAAGATCAAAGGGAGGTCGGATTAAGAACTTACGTACTGCTGAGGCACTGGCAATTCACCAACTGATGCTTGAACTCTATTTAAAAGTAACATTTTCAACCATTTATACTTCCATGGCATTAATGTCATTTTCCAGTGTGCTTTAGTCTTGTTTATGTTTTGATTTCTATTTTGTACAATTCATAAACTGCAATCGGTTATTACTATCCTCTAATACTTTCTTATGACTATCATCCAATTGTTATTATGACCTTAGAGTTTTTCATTTTTCGTCATACATGTCAAGTGGACAACTATCTTTTATAATTCGAACCAGTAAATTATTTTCACATTGCTTTCTGATGTAATCTCTTTTCATCTTTCTAAAGACACATATTTAGCAAACAACTATAGACACTAATGTACAGTTTGAGTAAACGATTTCGTCTAGAAGATAATTCTCTTTACTGAATTCTTGCTATTTTTATTTAGTGATACAATAAGTTGCCTTAATTTTCTCATAACTTAATCTATTATACGGTAGATATGTTGAAACAAATAAAACTGTATGTAAAGTGGACAAATGTTCACAATCAACTTTGCTATTAATAGCAGTGCCGTACTACATACTTTTTTCATGATAACTTAATTACAATGAAACAGTAATAGCTGGAACATTTTGCGCATACTTACTTTAGCGGAACGTATCGCCTCCTTGTTATCCTCCTAAATTTAGAAATATATATTAGGTGTTACAAATAAAATAGCACAACAAAACGTTAGGACACTAATAGTCAGCAAGTTTAACCCTAAAAATCTTGCAGAAACAGAATTCGAGAATCTCTAGGCAACACATTAAATATTTTACGGATTATACATGACTTAAATACGATAGAAGACTAGTAACTGCACACATGATCATACTTTATGTCTGTTAACTTGTTTAATGATAGTTATCATTTCAATAGTAAACATTCAATGTACTGTATAAACATTTGAACACATTTTACTTTTTATTTCTATGTTATAGCTTACTGAAATGACTGATTGTAGGAATAATCAATTAGTGATATACACGACAAACTTCAAACCATAGTTGCTACCTTGAGGTGGTCAGCAATGACTGTTGACATAATCTAATCGATCTAAATTGATTGGAACGCTAATCCGTTGATATTTGACCGCCTGCTACGTTAGCATAAATATTAGGCAAAATTGAACCTTTTAAACGATCCTATATGAAGTTATGGTTTATAATTTTTTTGATGAGTATTAAATACTTAAACTTATATTTTTGTATTCCCGTACTTGCAAACTTTTGTTTGACACGCAAACTATAATTGCGTGTCATACATACTGCAAGTTACTGTTAATTTATCACGGACTTATCACTTAATTCTCTTCCATTTAGGGGACATACGTGAAAATATTTCAGTTTCTTGATTTAGTTGATATGTACTCGGGATTTTGTTCTATATAAGTGTGAGTGATTCATAAATTTGAACTGCACAATTAGAAGCTATTTACTTGCCGAATTATATTCTATTCAGGCCATCGGAGTGTTGGAAACTGTATTCTGGATCAATAAGTCATCTAGTGTTACTCTGAGCTCTTATCTCACATTTATCGTACCATTAGTTAGCCGCAGGTCATTGGTACTAGATAGCCTCAGAGAGCTAACCAGTACTCGGATTATATCAATACCACTGCTCACTTGTCCTATGGTTCGATCTCATGGACCTCGAACAAACTAAACAATAAAATCTGTTTATTTTCTCAAACATCACTATCCCGAGCAAATTAATTGGATAGTAAGCAGCTACTTTGAGGAACGAGTGCAACAGTATACTACCATTACAACTGTGGAATGAAAGTAGTGAGATGTTCCCCAAAAATAACTGAGAATTCTGTCAATGTCACCTTCCTAAAATTTAAAAGAGAGGAAACATAAAGCATTGATACTAAAACAACACACTGCTTTTCTCCACAGGATTTCCAGTTTGGAAAATACGAGTGTTTTCGGGGTTTTCCGGAATCTGGTATATCAGAAACCACTTACGAAACGTCGTGGACCAATGGCCTCAAGTAGCCATCCCTTAGGTACTGCAAACACGCTCCCAGGTGGACACGGCCTCTACTACTTACTCTCATTTTCCTTGCAGATCATTGAAGAACCATCCTACTTACGACCTTGACAGAACTCGAGTTCATACAACTGCTATTTCTTAAAACTGTAAACTAATTACTCCGGGGATATCAATATTTACGTCCGAAACTTTAGATTATTGACAGTAGTATAAAAATCTATTCTCTAACAGCAATGCTTAGTATTGATTTTTCTATGGATTATTATGTGACTAAAGGCATAGAGAAATTACATAGTAACTAACGGTTAGTGGAGAATATATTTCATTTGACTGACTAACTGACAACTAATTACCCACATGTATAGTAATTACATTTACTGTAAGCGCTGAAAACATACTGTTACGACGAGTATCAAATTTTAAAAGACTTAAAAAGTGGATATCGATTTCGGCTAATTAGATTTCCAATTACTAAACTAAATGAACATAAATGAAAAGGCGACTACGCTTTGTAGAACTTACGAATCGCTTTTTATCAGTTTCATCGAGGAGCTGATCTGATTCTTGACCCTGAATAAATCTCATATAATCAGCAAAAAAGCTGAAGGGGCCAATCATTACATTATGAAATGAGAATAAATATCCACCAAACTGGAGAAGACGAGGTCGACGTCTTAAGAAAATATGCAAAAAATATTCAAAAATATTGAATTCTGAAGAATTGAACAATTACTTTTATCACAAACCATTAGTACATCGTTACAAGCTGAATCAACATGTAATTATTGCATTAAAATTAACGTACTATCCCATACTTGTGGATAGTAGTACGCTTAATTACAGAAAATCTAATGTACCAAATCTATGTTGTTTCCAACAGTCTACGGAAACTAAAAAGGCAAAGATGACTATATATATATAATTTCACTCTTGCTAAATTCTTTAAAAAAAATTAATGACAGTATAGATTATAATTGGACTTGATTTTCCGAAATGTATCACGAAAACCGAATAATAAGGATTGTACATACTATTTACATAAACTTTAAGACGTAATAACTTATACTTTCAAAAAACATATCTATTAAGTACAGTCAAGCGGTAGATTAAAGTACACACAAGTTTCTCGCAAATTGACTGTGTTTGGATGTTTACTGTAACTACTCTAATGTCGACCGGTGTTAGGCAAGGTTGCTTACTCTCACCCTTTCTCTTTCTCCTGGTGATCGACTGGATTATGAAGACGTCAACATCTGAAGGGAAGCGCGGGATACAATGGATATCTAAGATGCAGTTGGATGATATAGACTTCGCAGACGATCTGGCCCTTCTATCTCAAACGCAACAACAGATGCAGGAGAAGACGAACAGTGTGGCAGCAGCCTCAGCAGCAGTAGGTCTCAATATACACAAAGGGAAAAGCAGGATTCTCCGATACAACACAGCATGCACCAATCCAATCACAATTGACGGAGAAGATTTGGAAGATGTAAACACCTTTACGTATTTGGGCAGCATCATTGATGAACACGGTGGATCTGATGCAGATGTGAAGGCGCGGATCGGCAAAGCAAGAGCAGCATATTTACAACTGAGGAACATCTGGAACTCAAAGCAACTGTCAACCAACACCAAGGTCAGGATTTTCAATGCAAATGACAAGACAGTTCTACTGTATGGGGCAGAAACCTGGAGAACTACGAAAGCCATCATCCAGAAGATACAGGTTTTTATTAACAGTTGTCTACGCAAAATACTTCAGATCCATTGGCCGGACACTATTAGCAACAACGTACTGTGGGAGAGAACAAATCAGATCCCAGTGGAGGAAGAAATCAAGATGAAGCACTGGAAGTGGATAGGACACACATTGAGGAAAGCACCCAACTGCGTCACAAGACAAGCCCTCACATGGAATCCACAAGGCCAAAGGAAAAGAGGAAGACCAAAGAACACATTACGCCAAGAATTGGAGATAGACATGAGAAAAATGAACAAGAATTGGATGGAACTAGAAAAGAAGGCCCAGGACAGAGTGGGTTGGAGAATGCTGGTCAGCGGCCTATGCTCCATTGGGAGTAACAGGCGTAAGTAAGTAAGTAAGTAACTCTAATGTCAGCGAAACTTCGGTTTAGAAAGACAAACACACGACTCAGTACAAGAATGTTTTTATTTATTTATTATTTATTTCAACACATAGATAATGGTACAAAGAGGCACCAAATACATATGCGCCACACAAATCTCATTCGATATATGTGAGGGCTGTGATACTGCCCGGGTGCCCAAACCGAAGCAGGTGGTTTTCTTAGTAGGCCACACCCCCAGCCTTCGACCTGAAGGTCTGATCCACAAGGCAGTGGAGCATCGTAACGAGATGCAGTCCCATGGTAGCCGGTGACCAACGATTGGTTCATATGCCATTTGTTCCCGCAGGATACTGGAGCCCATGTGCACCATTGGTTTGTGATCCGGTTAAAGCGCCGGACATTCGCTTTCGTCCTCTCATTTTCGTAAACAACACCCCCGCCACGAGAAGGCAGTGAGTAGGACTTCCCTGGCAGAGGCTGTATACGCGTGGCCGTGTGAGAGTACAAGAATGTACGAAGTGAGTTATTTATGCTTTGTATCGTACACCGTGCGAAGCGAATAGTAACAGTATACAAAGCGAATGTATTGATTAGTACATTGGACCATAAGATGCGTATTTTGATAGTCAATCTTTATTCATGCGTGGAACCAAGAAGAAAAAATTGCATGTTCCATGCTAAATGAGATACTAAAGACACTGGATGGGCCTAAATTCTTAAATATGGATTTTCGTAGGCTTTATCATGTCTCTAAACTTTACAGTTAAATCATGGGCAACATATATTCAGTATATAAGTTAGGAGTAACAAAATGATAAGTTAGGGCCCCCAAAATGCCCTGGTACGGCCGAGAGTGGGGAAAGTCCGCCTACCCTCTCAAAATGCTCTCACATGGCCACGCGTATATACCTGTGACAGGGAAGTCTTACTCACTGCCTTTTCGTGGCGTGGGTGTTGTTTACGAAATTGAGAGGACGAAAAGTGAATGTTCGGTGCTTTAACCGGGTCGGTGGACATGGAGGATCTGTACAGGGGAGTTGGAAAACCCTGATTCCAGACCATTGAAGCACATGGGCTCCAGTATCCTGAAGGAACAAATGGCGTATGAACCAATTGTTCGTCACCGGCTACCATGGGACTGGATCGCATTACGTTGCTCTACTGCCTTGTAGATTAGACCTTCAGGCCGAAGGCTCCGGGTGTGGCCCCCTAAGAAAACCACCCGTTACGGTTTGGGCACCCTGGCAGTATCACAGCCCTCGCACATATGTAATGAGATCTGTGTGGCGCATATGTATTTGGCGCCTCCTGTTATCAATATCTATGTGTTAAAATAAATAAATAGAAACAAACTATACGTGTCTCGAAAGATATCAACAAGAAAAATACACAACTTGGTGTGGAATCGTTACTAAAGTCTCATGATGGAAAATATGCTGACATTAGAACTTTTTTCTACCTAGTAGACTGAAGGACTAAGATATCAGATGACTTTCTTAGTGAGTAATCCAAGATGCATACCAAAAAATATACGACAGACATTTCATTTGCAACCTGCATTAAAACCAATTTGACAATAGACTCACTCAACGGCATGAAGCTTGTGGTATTCTTGGTCAGCTACTCCTTTCTTTGACAACTTTACTCCATCATTGATGTTAAAAGCCAAAGAAGATAGCTTTTGAGTTTGCACCATCAGAGCCCTGGAAAAAATCTATCAAAAGTAGCGACATACGCAGAGATATCAAGTCGGGGGTTATACATACACCTGTGAATATGTACTGAAGATAAATATGTCATTGAGAAAACTAAAATGCCATACTGAGCAACAGATGATGGAAGAAAAACCATCATCAAGTATGCCGGTATGGCTTGAGCAAGCATATGAACAACTAGACTAAAAAGATTAAATTATTCAAAGGAAATTACGGTCCATAAACAAGATACATCATCAAAAATCCGCTGACAAACTCAAAAAGGTGACGGCGCTTGGAATTTTCTGTACATGGTGGTATGCATTTCTGCATTACACAGCCTGATAGTAGCGTAAAAAGTTGACATATCACGAATGTCCACTAAATTTCGTATGGTCATATTATGCAAAAAATTACATGTTCCGCATCAATGACAGAGAAGTATCGGAAAGCACTCATGAAAACAGGAAAACGCGAAAGACATAGAGCGCGGGTAAAGCAAACACAAAGTTTAGGTAATTTAGCTTCACTAAACGCATTCAAACGCCAACATTTTTAGATTCAGGTTTGTGTAGTAAGGATAGAAGGCGTACAGCCTATTTTATTCCTTTTCTACTGTTCTTTTGCAAGTGTCTGATTTTCTTTTAAATGAGTCAATCGTAGGTGCGGAAACCACTGCTTCGTGTAACAGGTTTCAAGAATTTATGACTCGGTGTGAGAACCTGTAAGCCACGGGTATTTTGTTCGTTCTTGGCTTTTACGCTCGCCTTTTATGTCCTCTAATATGTACCGATCTAGTGAAATGGGAAAGAGAGTACATATTACGTCCAAAATCATTTCTTATTATTCCATGCATCAAAATCAGATCACCTCATAAAGCTTTTCAAGCCGCCCGGAGTTCTGGAATTGCATGAGTAGCTGCTCTCTGTACGTTTTTCAGGATAAGTGAGTAACCTTTTAAATAGGGGCTTGTAGCCTGAACTCACTTTTCAAGACTAGTTTTCACTAAGGTTGTGTATATTGTAGTGATCATGGTAGTATGTAACTCAGTAAATGTTCGTCTTAAAGCCCAGAGGGTCCTAAACCAGTTAGCTGAGACCTCCCAGCAATGGCATTTCACCTATACTGTATCTATCAACCTTTGTATCCCCAAAGTGCATGTAGACACACTTTACCGTGTTGGTAAGCACCAGCCACTCTTAAGACAAGTTAACCAATTTATTTAAGTCTGCCTGAAGAACGCATGCGTCTGCGTCTCCAGTTATTACTCGCCAGACTTTTACATCGTCAGAGTATAATAACATTGAAGACAGTACTATACTTTGGAGTTCATTTACGTGCAGTATAAAAAGTAAAGGATTTAGGACAGAACCTTGAGTGTCCAGGTGAATTTACTCGAATTTACTATTACTTTCTGTCTACAACCTACTAAAAAATCCTTAATCTATTTTAAGAGAGGTCCGTCAATGCTAAAATTTTCTAGCTTCAATAGCAGTCTATTTGTTGCCACATTGTCAAGTGCTTTACTGAAGTCTATGTAGACTACATCCACTGAGTTTTCGTTGTCTAGAGCCTTTACCCCTTGATCCGTTGCTATAAGAAGATTTGCTGTGTAAGATAAACCCTTTTTGAAACCATGTTGTTCTCTGTTTGACAAGTTGCTGGTTCTCACAAACGTCATTATGGTCTTTTTGACTATTTTTACAGTATCTTAACCAAGACATTGGTGAGGCTGACAGGTCTGTAGTTCGATAGAAGTTGTCTTGGTCCTGTTTTATGTATGGGAGTAATGATTTCACCATGGTCAAGTAACATATTGGATATCAGTTAGTGGGGTTGCAGTATGTTATGCAATTTTTCTCAGGGTTTCGGAGTGCAGTTCATCCGGCGTTGTTGACTTTCCCATGTACAATGTGCTAAGAGCCATAAATACATCGTCTCGATCAAAGTCCACGGTGAGCAGTCGGTTTGTTCACTTAGTATTTAGGTTCAGTTCATTGTCTAGAAGAGGCTCCGGAGTAAAACCTGTCCCGTAATAGTTTGCCATAGCCTCAACTTTTTCCTGATTATCCTCTATCATTTGGGATCTACTCCCTTAATTAGGTTGGAAATTCAACTATGCACCCTTGTTTTGTAATTTATGTACGATAATAGTCTCTTAGTCTGTTTGATTACGGATTGGGTCAACTGCATTTCATATTTTATCTGACCTCCTTGAATTTTAATTATACACTTGTTTCCTAGCGGCTTGTAGGGTTCCACCGTGCTTGCTGTGCCAAGGCTGATGACAATGTCCTAACATCTATTATTTTGTCTTAATAAACATCGAAATTCCCGGACTATCCAGAGTTTTCCCTGCTTCTTCTTCTTTGGAACTGTCCAGTGTATATATGGTCGAGTTACTTGATAGCATAGCTGTCTGAAGACAAATGTCCGAATGGTCAAAATGGTTTGGACAGAATAGAAGAAGCTTCTGCTTAACGAGCTTTCGTATCTAATTGTAATGAGTTTCCGATGCGTCTAGGTAAGAAGCTAGGTATATTTAGAGATAAGAGAGAAAAATTAGTGCATTATAGCGAGACACTGTTCTTATTCTCTAAGGATATGTCACGTTTTCGCCCAAAGGAATCCTGAAAAGAATATTGTGCTATCGCAGGTAGCAGCAAATTGTTGAATTTCACGACACTTGAGGAGTAAAACGTATGCCTACAGTCCGTTCTGCAGTCACGTCTCCAGGTCCTGGTGTTGTAATAACATTTAGTAGATGTTCGAGAGAATGCCCAGAACTGTCTAGGATGCAGCAAGTCAGTAGAAGATCACCTCTAAGTTTCCTGTATTCAAAAGGGTAGAAATTCAGCGATTGGAGGCGCTCTTTAAAAGATGTGGTGGCATTGAACAATAACCGCACAATCCACAAAGCTGAACACGAGACTACTCAGAAAGTAGATATTCAATATTTAACGCGGATAAATACCTGACAATGAAGAAGGCGCGAACAATGAATTGAATTGACTGGAGTTGATCGAGTGGAATTGCTCGGCCATCCAGGCGTGGTCTCTGCCGAATGTTTCCTTATATCTTCTATTCATATTAAATATATTGTTCTTTCTCTAGCCTAACCTTGTTCTACATCATGTATTGGTAATTGATACGACACAGTGAGTTGGTGTAGTCGATGGTGTGACTTCCACGTAAGATCTTATAGATTAGGCAGTTATGTCATGACAAACCTACAAATTTAGGATTAGGTCTATTATTAGAGCAGTACTAATATCATAGTAGACCATAATTCCACATTGGTGAGCCCAACTAAAGAAACGCAACCTATTATTGTTAATCCTTATTTCCACCTTAACCTCCTCAATCGGTTTTTATTTTTGTAAACCCACTATTCTAGTAGTCCTTTGATTATTGGTCACATATTATCGTAATGTTTTATCTATTAATCCACATTACTTACTAGCTCAATCGATAATAAAAGTTGATCAGCTATATCAACTAATTAGCTTTGATTGTTCGTTAACAAGCTTTAATAACATTTACCTGCTTCAGCGACATAGACTTGTTTAAACATCAAGCTCTAGCAAATATGACCTGCAAATAGCGTAAGTATACATTGACTGACAATGCAATCAAGGACTAAATAGTTATCTGGATCTAATTATCAGTGTTCCTTCACCTAACACATCCTGTTTTAAACTATGCACTATCCTGTAATATCTTTTCTTCTGACCACTGCCTGCCTAATTTCAAATTTTCGAGTTCCATTGCCAAACAACAAGGATGACACTTCTCTAAAAACACGGTGAGTTCCAGCCATAGGTTTCTTTCAGTCATAAGCTCATTTTAGATGGCTCGTTCAATAGTGACCGCACAATTATCTGGATTCATTCGGTTGTCTGATACGAGCGAGTGGCAAAAACGTCAACAGCATCAAGGACCCTGGAATTAATTGCCATACTGCATGTTTTATTCTGGATACTTTTGGATCATTACTACTCACGAATGGCGTTATATTATTATTATTATTATTATTATTATTATTATTATTATTATTCACAAACATCTTATGGGTACATAAGTGTTGTGAAGAAACCATTTCGTGTTTCTTCAGAAAATGCAATAATACACAATTTTCAATAATGTTAGCTTTATACTTGCCATATTTAAAAATAATAATAATAAAAATAAAATAAAAATTGAGAATAATAATAGTAGAATATTAATAATAATAAATGGGGTCTTTGTAATTGAGAAGAATATTGAATTGAGTTTAAAGAAGAAAATGGAGAAAATAAAGGAATAGAAATAAAGGAGACGTGAAATACGCAAACAGTCTAATAGGGGTGTTTATGAACACAAAACAAGAATAAACGACTATGTGTGTATCGTTAAATTAGTAAGAAAAAATAATTTATCAATGTAGTAAGATATGACACTAGAATAAATGTTTGTGCAGTTATAATTTAGAGTGATGCTATGAAAGTCACAATTAAGTGAAAAGTATAATAAAATATCACTATGTATGAGTCATATATGCATAGTGAAGATGAAACGAATCTGAGAAGATAATTAAAGTGTAATACAAGTTATTGTTTTAATTACAAACTTCGTAATATTAAGAATAATATTTATTTAGAGGGAAAGAAGTGAACACCTAGTGAAAAGATTCATCCATGATAAGAATAATAATTGTGTAATGAATATCAACCTCAGAAGGAAACCAGAAATTCTTAAAAACAAAAATCCTTTAAAGCACTTGGATGAATACATTTAGATTTATGTAATAGTATACAGAGTGAAACCGGATATTAGTATAAATATTTGTGCAATAATAATTAAGATTGATGCTATGAAAGTCAAAATTGATTTCAAAGGACAATCTGTAGTTAAATATGTTTAGAAGGATAAGAAGATACAAAAAGAATATCTAATGTGTCGGGGAACTAATAATGATATTAATAACGGTAATAATGATAAACATGAACATAATCAGACTTCATATATTAAGATAAAGAGAAATAAAACAAAATAGACGTGAAAAGATTTAAAGGTTTTATTTTGCTTTTCAAGCAATTAAATGGATGACGGACCTTGTTTGTATAAATCATTATTGAATACATTGATATTCAATAGGTGACATAATCCCCTTTCGGAAAGAAAATCATCAAGGAGACTTTTGAACCGGGTTGTAGTTTTACTGCAACGGAGGTTCACTGGCAGTCTGTTCCACATCGTTGAGTAGCGAATAAGGAAAAAATTCTGACGTAAGTTTGTGTGGGTTCTTGGAATCGCTAGAATGTTCTCCTTATTGCATAGATTGTGGGATGATATTATAAAGTATGAAGGGGTAGATACCGATGAGTAGGAAGTACCATTAATGAGCCGGTAGATAAAGACAAGATTTAATTTGATACGTCTGATCCAAAGAGGTTCTAAGTTGAGTTGTTGACATCTTTGGTAATAGTCTTTGTTATCGGAATACCCCAGAACAGCTTTGGTGAACTTCCTTT